TCCGGGACTTCTTGACTCTTTGCAGGTCCTACGGACTTGCTGCGAACTAAGCCGGTGACAGCATTATTTGCTGCTGGTTAGGGACTGCCTGGTGGATGGACAGGCACAGGCCAGTGGAAGGTGTTAAGATGTGGCCAGTGAACACACAGCAGCTGACCTAACCCTTGAAAAGGAAGTGACTGGAGGAAGCCAAAGCCCTCCGAACAGAGGTTAGGAGTGACCTGTCCTGAGGCACAGCAGACCAAGGGTTGAACTAAAATTATTGTTAGTAATATATGTATGGGTATTTTGCCGGCATCTATGTCTGTGTACCACATGCATGCCTGGTGCCCACAGAAGCCAGAGGATGGCACTGGATCCCCTGGCACTGGAGTAACAGATGGCTTTGAGCTATGTGGATGCTGGGAATTGAACCTAGTTCCTCTGGAAGAGCAGCTGGTGCTCTTAAGCCCTGAGCCACTTCTCCAGCCTCTGAAGTTGAATCAAAAAGTTGCTAAGTATGGATCGAACTGAAAAAAAATCACTTGAAATACAAATTACACGTAGCTGCTCTTTCCACTTCCTGTTTATCGCTGTACAGTCAGCTCCCAGGGACGCACACACAAACTTGCCAGACTAAGAGAAACTAGGCCTATTGCATCATAACTGAGGAGCAAGTATTTCAAAAGACCATTCCAGGCGCCTTCTGAACACTAGCAAGCACCTGTGGACAAGATGGGACTTATTCTGGAACACGGATAACTTGTGTGAAGGCATACAATAGCAGCCTTTGTAATCACCCTTCTGGATACAGTCAACACGTAGATAGGGGAGGGAATATATGCATGGGTTTCTGAGGCTTTGTTATAGTTTGTATTCACCATTATGTGTTTATGTATGTACATGTCTGTGCGCCTGTGTGGAGGTCAGAGAATGGCCCTGGGCATCCTGCTCTCCCATTCTTTGCCTTATTCTTTGAAGACAAGTCTTTCCCTGAACTTGCTTTTTGGCTTGGCCAGCAGTCAGCAAACCTCAGGGTTCTTCTTGTCTACACCCTTCACCCCCAGTTGCTGGGGTGACAGACATGCATAGCCACATCTGTTCCTTTCGGAAGGTGCTGGAGATCTGAATTCAGGTCCTCTTTCTTGCCCAGCAAGCTCTTAACCATTGAGCTAACTCCTCAGCAACCATGCCCCCACTCCTACCATACTCTTAAAATGTATTACACTATTTATACATAGTTATCTTAAGGTTTGACACATTAAAGAGGAATTGGCATGCTATATATGTAATTGCATTCTATTATATATTTTGTTTTATAGTACTTACATAATGTATATATAAAGACTGTTTTAAGCTACAGTGAAATTTTCTTGTAATCAAGTTTTCGGCATGAGAAAGCTTTTCTTTTCACTGTATTCCGAGAAGCTTCCATGCTACTTAACAGTGTGGTCAAAGTACAAATGTCAGTTCCATTCTGGATAACTGCACAGAGCACTTAACTTGCCAAGTTCCCTCTCCTGCCTCTGGGCCACACAGAGTGCAGCTCACAGAGTGTCGTGAGCCTTCAAGGTGACCCATGAAGCATCAGTCATGGAAGCCTGCTCTAATTATTATGCAACTGATGAACCTACTGACATACCATTTTCAAATTTTGATGTTCTTACTATCTATGTATATGTGTTCATCTGCATGAGCATATTCACACGTGTGCGTTAGCATGAGTGTATGCATGTGTGTTTGAGTGTCCATGGAGGCTAGAAGAGGCACTGGATCCCTTGCAGCTAGATCAGAAGCACCCTAGAGTCACCCTGCAGGGTGCTGGGTCCTTTTGTTAAACAGAAAATGCTCTTTCCAGGCCCACATACTGTAGATGTGTACAAAGAGGCTTTGGTCCTTCCATGCATTCCTTCTCTATCTTTCTCTATATTTACTTCTTAGTGGAAAACGGTGAGAATAAAGACAGTCGGGAGGTTACAAGCAGAAAAGGGACCAGGAATCCAAGGCTCTCAAAAGAATTACAGCAGTTTTATATGTCGTGTTCTTGTTCCCGTGTAAGAATCGACCATTTTAAATTATGCTCCAACTGCCAAAATTTCCATGACTTAGGACAATTTGAATGCTTGATATTTTGTTTCATACTTAAAACCAACACCCCCTTCCACGGTACCACTATCCTGTTCACAACACTTGAGACTCACTTTAAGAGATATGATTTTTGATATTGGAGTTCCCCAGGGCATCTGGTCCTTATTTAACCATCATATTTACATCCACCTCCCATGGCATGGTTTAGCTGCTTGGCTGGATACCCTTGTGGAGCCTTTCCTTTACGAAACACAGCTCCACGGAAACTGCCAGAATCCCTGCTCCTCACCACTACTATGCAAAGCACAAAAGAGTTCAGCCTGGCTTCCAAAAGGGCTAGAACGCTGCTGGGGACTCAGTTGGCAGAGGAGGCGCTGCCGGGACACACTCGGCTCGCCGTCCTTACACTATTCGTACAACTGTTTATGCACAATGAAATGCTGGGCCAGAACACACAGGAAACCGTAAAAGACGTTATGAGATGTATACAGGGTTGATGGGCAGGACTATTTGAGGTCTGGAGGGCAGATAGAACATGCACTCTCTGTGATTTACTTCACACAAGGGGTTACATGACCCTGAAAGCAATGCCTAATTTTGGAGTTATACTGAAAAAAATTCATAAATTTGAACTTTTCAATTTCTAGACAAATAAACTTGTTTTCTTCCAGACCACAGACCACCAGTTATGTTTACGTGTCTTCTATGTGGTAAACATTGATGTGGGCTGTTTATTATTTTTTAAAGACAAAGAACAGACAGAACACAGGGACGATATAGACTGTTGGAAAATGTTTGCACTTCTGATGGTTTTTAAATAAAATCCTTAGCCTCTAACATTAGAAAATTATTTTTGAATCTCAACTATTGTCTGTCATGTGTGAAGGCAGGAAAGGTCAGTGCCATGACCTCTAGAGGGCACTTCTAGAAGGCCACATTTCAAAACGTAGGTGTAGAAGTAGTTTGGTTTCCTTTACCCTTAGTCTAGGGGGCAACATCAATTTTCTAAAAGCAAAGTTTATATTATTATTATTATTGGATTTATTTATTTTCAAGTTTGATCTTTAAAATGCAGAGATTAGTAACAATAATCATAAAAACTCATCCAGAATTTGGGTATTCATACATGATTTAGAGTTGAGCCCCATGTATAGAAACCATCATTTATAGCATAGTCAATTTAAGATTTCATTATGTGACTTCACATTTCTGTTTTAGGGTATATGTGTAATTAGTATCATTAAGAATAACTTTATTGTTTGGAATAAATATGAAAAGGCTAGAGTGCCTTTGTAATATTGTCACGTAAAAATAGGGTGGTGAAGAGGTGGACTGGGCCGAGAATGAGGCCATAGGTTATCACGCGTGGTCTCTTCCCCCATCTAGGCCAGGTTCCTTTTCATCTGTCAAGTGTGGGACAGCTCCCAATGACACAGTGAGAATAAATGAGGACGGTGGTCTTCTCTAACTATGATAATATTTGACACTTTAATCTTAGGAGACAGTTTAGTGAAGTGTCATTTCTAAGATTTTCCTTCTGTTGTATCTATATAACTGTTCAGAAAATTTTGTTTTACTTCAAATTTAGTCTTGTTTTAAGGGTAAGGGAGAGAACTTAAGTGTAGGGAAGAAAAAAAAGAATTAAAATATTAGCATTGAGCAATTATGGGCACATCTAGGCTGGCTCAGGACAGACACAAACGGCCTTGTTTGATTCTAAATTCAGCTTTCTGGCTCAGGATGAAAAGTGAAAGGTATTATGTGAACTCGCTGGGCAAACCAGATTTTATAAATAATTGCCTGCCAGACGGTTCAAGATAGACAAACATACACCAGACCAACAAAAACACAGAGCTGTCGTGTTTCTGAGAGAAATGTACGTTGAGTCTTCCTTCCCTGGGACTACAAGGAGATTAGGTAAAGAGGACCACGGGAGGAAACAAAGCCTTGCATTTTCTGCCTCGTGCTACTTAAAATATATACTGTGGGGCAGAGATGGGCTTTCAATAGGAAAAATTAGCCCCTGAAAATGTCAGATTGCCTACAAGCCTGGCAGATGGAAACCAAATACAGCGAGTGCTGCCATCTCCCAAGTAAGGGATGTTTACTGCAGGGTTATAATTTTCCATGATTAGGGATGCCAAGGAAAATAGGGATGATGATAAAAAGAACGGTTTAATCATACTTTTCGACAGGCATGGGTAGAACATCAAAACCCTCCGGCGATTTTTGATATTAAATATCCGCGTTTTTCCTAGCATGCACATTTTCCCCAAGATTACTACACAGCAGGTAAATGACAGTGGGGACACCACGGCACAAGCATGTGGCCACTCCAGGGTTTGCTCACACAGAAAACGGCTGCTCTTATTTCTCTCTTCCACCCATAACTCTTACAGAATTAAAGACTTAACTTCCTCCTCTGCAATTCGTATTTAATCAGGAACTGTACCATCGCATCTGCTAGATTTTGGGTTGTTCCTAAGACTTCTACTTCCTCATTTACTGGAGACAGAACAGATGCCACTGGGGCAGCTCAGCTGCTCCCAGCAGGCAGTGTATTAACCGGATTCCAGGCCAGGGGGAGAGCTCTGAAGGTTAGGTGAATCCCAGAATCCCTGTGCTCTTCCTTTTGACTTTGCTTCTGAAAAGGCATGGAAGTTTTGTGTGTGTGGTGGTGGTGGTGGTGGTGGTGGTGGTGGGGGCTCGGGGGAGGTTCAGCTGGAAACGGAAGGCAGTGAAGACAGATAAGGCAAGTTCCGTGAAGCAGAAGGAAGGAGGCATGAAAAAGTGACCCCTGTAGTGAGTGGGGTGATGGGAGAAGAGGGGAACAGGTGGCTTTGTCCTGCCAGGTGAATCTTTGATGGGTGCATGTTCATCAAATGACTGCATCTCTAGAACACACGCAGAGACTGTCAACAATGGAAGCACAGTTGGTGGGTCACTGGGAAGGGAGACTGACTCATTTGTCTCTTTTGTCCCAATCTGAATCATAAAAATGCATCCTATAAAAGGCAGACTAAACACTGGAGGGAAAAAAGCACAACTCTGCTTTTAAGATTTATGAGCTGAGGGCAGCAAATCCATGCCAAATTCAGAATTCAGAATTGTGTGATGTGCGTTCTTGTCCACCTACACACCACCCAACATCCTGCCATTAATTAGGCAAATGGCCCACTCAGTAAACAAGGCTAAGGAGGCCAAGGAAGAGCTGGAGTCAGACAGTGGAGAGTCAAAAACAAAGCAGGCCACTCCCTAGGGCAGGAGACGGTAAATCCACATTTTATTTTCATCCAGCACAGGGAAGAATGACCTCGGTGTCCCATTTCCTCTCTTGTTGCAGCAGGCACAGCCACAGTCCCCTCAGCAGGCCAGAAAAGCCATCCCGCTCCTTCGGTAGGCACTCTGTCAAAGACAAAGAAATCTGCAATGAATTATCACATCAAGTCGAACAAGGAGAGGAAGCAGAGGCTCTCTTCCTGTTTTGTAGACTGCTGGCTACAAGCTATTCGGGTGCTTAGCATGAATAGTTCTGGTGGCACCATTCTGCACTAAAGTCAGTGTGGTTAACAAGTGGTTAGGGAGTCTATTTTTGGGAAGTGGGTGATATGCAAAATAAGGCATCCCATTTTGTCCTGCTAATGGATTGCTGTTGGTTCAGCCAAGGAAGAGATGTGTTGGGTCTGTTTGTCTTTTGGAAACATGTGTTCTCTATTCCTCATGCTCCACAGTCAGTTCTAACGAAGCATCGCAATAGTCTATAAATTACTGATTCACTACTGTCTTCCCAGGCTTGATTTATAGTCTGGAGGGGAGGCTGTGGGAACAGACACTATGGAGGCCTTTCCTCCTCTCTGCAGTGTGGTGCTCTAAGGGCACGGGACTGGCTGTATGGAGAACTCGAGTCTTTTAGAAACTCCTATCTGTAGACACACATGGAGGCAGACATATGGATGCTCATGGTAGGATAAATCGCCACTTTCAGAACCAGATGCTAGTTGCAATAACACAATGTTGTATTCCAGGTAAGGAGAGCAACACTGCACCTTTCATCTCCTGCTAAGGAGTTAAATTCTGGAATGGGAAGACCAGGCCAACCTCCCATGGTTCTGAAGAGGAGCAGAGCCAAGAATCAGGACTGAGAACGAGAACCCCTCATTGGCAGGAAACACAGCATTTAGCCAGCAACAGTCACACTCATACCTTTAATTTTTGAAAGTGTATTTTTAGAAAAAGGGGGAAAATGACAAAAACCTCATTAGGACCTCCTGCCCCTCTGAAAGCAACAGCTCTGGGGCTAGCCTGGTGTCCCTGCATTTTTAGCCTAACACCTTCATTCTCAGCAGTCAACTCGGAGGAAATTATCATTGAGGCAAGCAGCCAAGATGGCTGAATAGAAGTCCTTGTGCACAGCTGGGCCACAAGAGAGCCAGGACAAGAGTTCAAGTCTGAAAACCGGCTAGGAACCAGAGAAAAGAAGAAAGCAAAGTGCACCTTTGACCCCTCCAGGGCAGAGTGAGAACAGGGAATTGGGAAAGTGCCAGCGACTCCTGGAACCTGCTCTGACCCCAAGAAGGGACTCTCTAACTACCTCCCCACCAACCCAAACTGCCACGGCTAGATGGAGGCAATCCCCTGATGCCATGAGAGGACTTGGCCTGCTGTATCCTCTATTGGGCAGAAGACAGTCCTTTCAATGCCCTAAGGCTTTAGGACCATAGACTATGACAGTCACAAGTCTGAGTCCATGCTGCGAGTCTTCTTTTCAACCCACAGCACTGTGGCTGAGGTGGTTGTTGTAAACTCCAGGCTCTGTTTGCACCTGTCCAATAGGATCTAGGAAGGTTCTAGCTCATGTACAGCTCCAGGAATGCAGTTGCCAGCAGCCTAGCCACCAGTACCTCTGTGTAAACCCAGATGAAACTATGGCAGGTTGCTCTCCCAGACCATAGCCTATCCTAGGGGCAGGTCACATCCATGTCTTGCAGATATAGAGTTGTGGTTATCAATGTTTCAAATCTTGTCTCCAGCTGAGCTTTCTCCTTGCAAGCTGAGGACAAGCCCATCTCTCTTGTGCTCTAGTAGGGTAGATAGCAAAGTCACATATCAGACTGTAGTAATAAGGGCGGCGTGGCTGTGTTCCCAGCACCCTGGCCGCCTGCTCGGCTAGCTTATGCCCAAAATAACAACACACAAACTGTATTCATTTAATTACTGCTTGGCCCATTTCTATCTAGCCTCTTCTAGGCTAATTCTCACATATTAATTTAGCCCATTTCTAATCATCTGTGTTGTGCCCCAAGGTGCGCTTACCGGGAAGATTCTAGCCTATGTCCATCCTGGGTCGGAGCTTCATGGCGTGTGTCTGCCCGGGAGCGGGGCATGGCGTCTCTCTCAGGCGTCTGCTCCTGAGAGGAGAGCTGTCGAGTCTGAGCTCACTTCCTCTTCCTCCCAGCGTTCTGTTCTGTTTACTCCTCCCACCTATCTTCTAACCAATAAAATGGGCCAAGGCAGTTCCTTTATTAGCCAATGACCTTCCTCCATCATCAGACTACTCTGCTCAGGCCATGGGGTCTAGAGAAGGTCTCCTCACCTCTTATGCCTCCAGATGTGAGGATATATGTGCCATAGGCCCAAATGTTACCTGCATAGGTTTTGGGAGACCTAGGAGTGATTTCTTCCACAGCCCATTGCCTTGGAACCACAGCTGGTGATAAAAACCTTGATGATTATTTACATCCTTTGGGGCCAGGAGATAGTCCACGGCTGTGTGAAGTTGTCTGACAATGCTACTTGTCCCATTCCCCAAATCAAGCAGGACCTAGGGAAGGTCTTGTTTGTCTTATACAATCTTGAGCCTATGGTTACTAGTGTCACAGATGCCAGCATCACCTGAGTCATCCTATGGGATCTGGGGAAAGTACAATCCTGTACTGTGGTTTCAGAGGACACCAGCTGTGGTATCCCCGATACACACCGAGGGTCCTTCACATACTGTGACTTGACTCAGAGTCTCCTGTGATTCCATCCAGGTACATATTCCACACTATTATAGCCATGACAACGGCCACTACAAGGCCCGGTATTAGCAGTGTTTGATTTTGCAAAGTCTGAAGACACACACCTTTGGAAGTCTAAGTTGATTATGAAGTTTTACAACTACATTCCTGAAATGTTTTCCAAGCAGTTACAGTTTATAGACTATGGATGACATCAAAGACAAAGAAATGACATGGATGTTTGAGCTCCAATATAACCAAATTCATAGCACTGATCCCACTACCAAAGCATCCATCTATCTGGCATCTGACCTCCCATTTAAATGAGAAATAAAGCAAAACCAAGTCTCAGAACTTCATAGAAGAGTTACTTCATAAAATTAGAGGCAAATATTATGAGATGTACAGATATCAATGTGGAAATGTTGATACATGACACTCCAAAGAAATAATTCTTCACAATAGATTCCAGTTTAAAGAAAATCTACAAGACCTTAAAATAAATCCAAATTTAATGACCCTAATTAAACTCATTGAGATAAAAAGTAACTACTGATGCATATTATGAAGAAAACAAAAATAACGTAGGATATGAATGAGAAGTTCACCAAAAGCATAGAGATTATAAAGGAGAACCACCTGGAAACTTTGGAGCTAAAGCTTTAACTAATAAAATTAAAGATAAAACAGAGAATTTATGTAAAAAAAATAAATAGAAGGATTTCTGAACTTTAGAATTAGTCTAGTCAGCAAAAAAAAAAAATCACATGAGGAAAGCCCACAAAACTTATAGAACAAATTTATGTCAAGTATTTGTATCATGGAAGCTTCACAAAGTGAAGAATATAGAAAAAAAAACACAAAAACTTATCACTAAATAATAGTCAAAAAGGCCCCAAATCTTCGAAGAGATATGATCTGACTGCATTTAAATAAAATATATTTTTAACCAAAACTGGTAGTATAATGCTGCAAGTACATGACCAGGAGAAACCTGAAGTTCAGCAAGAGAAAAGCATCACGTCACATGAGAGGAAAAGCCCATCACACTTCCAGGAGATCATTCAATAGAACCTTCATAGATCAGAAGAGGGAAGGATGGACATATGCATGACACTAAGAAAATAAGTAAAAACCCTGTCCACTAAGAATATTATACCCAACCAAATTATCCTTCAGAAATGAATGTTCCTCAGGAAAGCAAACACTGAAGAAAATCACCAATTATCAGATCAGCCGTACAAGAGACACTTAAGGAAGTCATCCACGAGAAACAAAGGGTGATGATTACCAACACAAACCCACTAACATTCCAGGCTGGAAAGATGGCTCAGTGATTAAGAGCGCTCTGCTCAGTTCCCGGAACCCACAGCAGGCACCTCTCAAACAGTTCTAACTCCAGATCCAGGGGGTCTGATACCCTCTTCTGGCCTTCAAGGGTGCTGCATGTACTTAGTGTACGTATGTAAACTCATGTACACACACATACAAAGACAATAAAGAAATGAATCTTTAAAACAACAGCAACAAACAAAAAACTTGTAAATATTAAAAAAAAACAGTACTAGAACACAGAAGAGCAGAGTCAAACTTCAGTGTGACAGGTTCACCAAACCATACAAAGGACTAGAAAGAGGTTAGAAAAGAACAATTTACAACAAAACTACCCCCACAATTCAATTGAATAAAATAAAATAAAAATAAAAGGAGAAATTTCATGTCTGTCAATAATATCCATGATGATAAAATAAATTAAACTCAGCAACCAAAAGGTGGGAAATAGCTGAATGGGTTAAAAATACAAGAACCATATGCTGCCTGTGGGAAATTCTCTTCACCAATAAAGATGAGGGATTGGAAAAAGATATACAATAAACACTAAACAAGTCAGCAAGCGTCACTATATCATTAGAACAAAGCAGACTTTAAATTAAAAAATGAAACTTCCAAAAGTCAAAGAAGGTCCTTATGTATTAGTGAAGGGGTAAATTCCGTCAGAAGGCACAATTGGATATATATGGATGCAACCTGGCATTCCTTTATGTTAGCTATAGAGGAAGAGACAGACTGTAAGACAGACTTTCCAGGACTTCACCACTCCACTTTGTCAATAGGCAATGATGAAGGTTTTAAAATCTTAAAGAAACATTATTTTATGTGTATGAAAGTTTTGCTTGTATGTATGTATGTGCCTTCTGTCCTCTGAGTCTAGAAGAAGGTGTCAGACACTATGGAAGTGGAGTTACAGATGGTTATAAGCTGCCATGTGGGTGCTGAGAACTTGACCCCAGGCTCTCTGCATAGCCAGAAAGTGCTCTTAGTCACTGGGCTGCTCCTCCAGCTCCACAAGGAAACATCTTAGCTGACTCATGTTGTAAAGTAAATGGACCTTACAGACATTTACAG